ATAAATCGAACAATCGATATGACTGGTTCATCGATTCTGAACGGACATTAGGTGGAGTTTTTGTCGTGTTTTTTTATTTATTCCTATTCCTGTAACGATATTTTGTAGATTCCTTATATGCAAGTCTCTGATATTTAGATTATCCAAATCAATGAGCTGATTTTTTTTAGATTTCCCTCATTCCACCAAGTGGTATATTTGTTTTTCAAAGCGCATTTGTGGTCTATGCAATATTGATGCTGCAATCATTCATTTCTTCATTTTTTTTTATTGTCGATGACAATACCATATGATTGAGAAAAAAAACGGCATCAAACAACGCTTTATTGTACAAAAAACCAAAACGGCTTCATCGACAAAGCACTCACAAAACAAACAAAAGCACAAAAAAATACAAACCACAAAAAATACACAATACAAATAATACAATTCAAATAAATTTAAGTCATTAAAATAACAAAAAGAATATACGTGGATAATTGCAGAACAGTACGCAGTAAATAGATATAATTTTAGAGTTATAAAATATTAAATACTTGACTTTTGACCAGTGTGTGAGATGATTAAAATTTTAAAATTCAAAATTGTTCATAATTAAACATCCACAAAAAAGTCGTTTACCGTATATAGGGCTCTCTACAGTAAGTATGATTTTAGAGCTTTGCGAAATGCGGGAAAGAATGAAAGCGACTTGATTCTAGCAGATATGTGCTTGCGGATTAAGCAAAGGGATTCAAAAATGAATAAAGAAGGAAGAGTCAGTATTTTGAAATTTTTAAAGAAATTCTGGCAGTGAGTTCTACTGTTCAGTCCCAATAAATATCGAACTGCTCACTTTTGAAGTCTGAAAATGCCGATCAAATTTTGTTGCGCAGCAAGTACCCCAGAATGGAAGGGCATAACGAAGATGTGACTCAAAAAGGGCATCATAGGCTATTCTAGAGGTTGAGAAGTTAAGTTCCTTAGAAACTGATCTTAGCGCAAAACAGGCAGCGCTTAGTTTCTTTGATAGAGGTTCGATGTGAAAGTCCCATTTTAACGAGTTGTCTACAACAAGTCCTAAGAATTTCACGACGTCAACAGTGGTGTTATTAAGTACAAAAGGTTGTATAGCACTTTTATATGACAAAACTTTAGTTTTTGATAGGTTGAGGCATAGGACATTAGAATCGCACCAAGATTTAATGGTGCGTAAGTCACTGGATATAGTATCATATAGTGCCGTAACATCTGGGCCGCTCCAAGTGAAACTAGCATCGTCCGCAAAGAAGCAGATTTTACCGCTAATGTCTAGATTTGCAATGTCGTTGATAAACACCAGAAACTAAATAGGGCCAAGTACTGAACTCTGAGGGACACCACATTCTATAGAATTACAAGAAGACATAGACGATGGCGGAGGAATAACAATGGATAATTATTTTGGCGAGGTCAATGTCTAGACGTCATTTACTAAAAATTGACATAAAACTTGTCAAAAATTCACACTAATTATAGAACGATAAAGAATATAATGTTTCTAGACATACAAACTTATTTCCAAAAAATATTTTTTCTCGAATTTCAATCTACACCTTAAAAACCATTTTTACTCAAATAAAAATAAATTAAAACTGTCTTAAGGTCAATTGGCAGTAAGCGCCACTAACATAATATAAAAAAGAGTACGGGCTAAGTAAATGACGTCTAAAGCTTGACCTCGCCAAAATTATCATCGATTGTCATTCCCCAGCCGTCTTTGACACCGTTTTTTTTTCTCGATGGTATGGTATATTCTTTTAAGTATTTTTATATTGTTTAAGAAATGGCGTTTTTGTAGATTTTTGTCAAGAAAAGTTTTACTAACTGTTTAATCAAAGTCTTTTCTTTAAAGTTTATTTATTTTTGTTTAAAATATCTAATATGTATAGATTTTTAAATGGTTATTTTAGTGTATCTACTTTTTTACAAAAAAAAAACACCCTATTATAGTAAGTTGTTAATTTATATTTAAATGGTCTAAAAATGACTTATGCTGCAAAAAGTGGATGTCAAAAAATGTGTTAAACATACTAAACGCATTTGGCTGAATTTTCAGTCAATATTTACCGAATTCTGATACACCTACTTATCACCTGTGAATTTTCAGAATCTATATCACGTTTTAATATTTTTTATTGATATAAAGGGATATTTAGTATTTTAAACATAAATGACTAACATTATACAGAGTGCTAATATTTTTTTTACGGAAAAAGGCACCACATGTATACTTTTTAAAGCTGTGATCAAGTTATAGTACCATACGATCGAAAAAAAAACATCTAGAGATTGACCTCGCAAAAATTGTCATCGATTGTCACTCCCCAGCCGTCTTTGACGCCGTTTTTTTTCGATCTTATAGTATAATAATCATATAGAATCTTTGTGAATAAACTGATTTATTAAATAACTGACAAACTAGCATTTTTCTATTTACATCAGGTTTGTATATCTTAGGTATACCTTCATTTTATAAATTAAGGCTTCTACAGGGTGGTCCGAACTGTATTACGGAAACTTCGGCAGCATATTCTGCAGATAAAAATAAGTAAAAAAGTTCGTATAAATGTATGTCCTAAAATGTTTAGTTTCGGATATACAGGGTGTAGAAGTTTCATTTTTATTTCGATTTTTTCCAAATAATTTCTGCAGTAACGTCAATATTTAGATGAAAATTTCACACCTCTACTTTTCAACCAATAACATGCTTTAATGTTGACTAGTTACCATGGCAACTGAAAAAATTTCCGGAAATTTTTTCACAGTTGTTTTCACAGTTTCGCCACGAAACTTTAGTGGAAATTTTTTGACAGTTGAAAAGGTAAACATAAGATCTACAATCATAATGTGAATGAACTACAATGTCTATATATTGAAATATTACCCATTTGAGTTTTAGCATTTGATGTAACTAAGGTTGGTAATATTTTTTATTTAAGGAAATATGTTAGATATACCTACATATGAATTTCTTCGAAATTGCCATGTTCTAAAAATATAGTTCTGCCGCCTTTATTTAACTAAAGCTGAACTACAATGAACAGAATCGCAAACAAAAATGACAAAACACATAATATGTCAAAAACATCAATACCTTGGCCAACTTAACAAATTGAAATTATTTTAAAATGTCATGTTGGATTAATATTTTTTCAAATTTAGGTGTGAAATTTTCTTACCGAATACCACGCAAGCTTAAATTATTCCTGGAAATTTTCTTTCGGGCACGAATATTTTAGGAAAATTATCCCTCGTCTTCGACTCGGGATAATTTTCAAAATATTCGTGCCCTCAAAAAAATTTCCGAAAATAATTTAAGCTCTTGTGATATTATAAGTGAAAATTGATGTTTGGGGGTTTTTTGACATGAGAAATTTGATTTTAATGTCAATATGACTCCTACTAGTAGAGGGCGCCACCTACATATTTTTTAACTGGTTTGAAGAGTTATAACTTCGAAATTATCAATACCTGTCATCATTGACATAAAATTAAACATGTTGACTAAATAGTTATTAGACTGAGATCATAAATTTGAAAGTTTTCTTGCCAAAAGTCCAACAGAAACTGTTTTATCATCATTTTTTTGCAGAAAAATTTATGATTAATTTAAAAAAATAAAAATGCCCCAAATTTATTACTTATTTCAGTCAAATAACTATCTACTCAACGTGTTTATTTTTCGTCAATAATGACATGTAATGACTATTTCCATTCTAAATATCTTGAGAACAGTTGCTCGTAGCGATTTTTACAAAGAGATATTTTTCACGTAAAAAGTCACAGAGATGTATATTTTTTTCCCTCGGTAGTTTTATACAGGTACGGACAAAAAGTTATTACGCTTCAAAACAGTTAAAACACATGTAGGTGACGCTCTCTAGAATTAGCATTTAGAATTTAGAATGAGTGGGAGGGGGGTTAATCACTTCGACCTTACAGATCCATTGTGTCCCCCTTTCTTGAATCATAACTCATCATACAGTCCCAGGGCTTTGACAAAAGCCAGTATCTGGGACGGTTTTATAGAGGGTAGTTCTCCATCTCCAATATCAGTCGTACCAAAATTCATGGCACGAATGGTTGTCGTCTCGGCGCACTCAGTGATGAGGTGTACTGGTGTTTCACCATCTTCCCCACAGAATCTGCATTCGCCGTTTCTTTCGTTCTTAGTTTCAATCTACTGAGGTGTTCATTGAGGAGACAGTGTCCTGTTAAAACCCCGTGACAATCCGAAGGTTGTTCTTACTCAGACCCAGGAAGATCTGTGATTTTTCTTGATCATAAGCCCTCAGAAACTTCTTCAGTGTCTTAGACCATTGCAAGATTTCCATTCCAGGTTGCGGATGGAATCTTCCAAGTTCTTGAGTTCCGCCTTGAGTTGGTTACCACTTGGAAAGCAGAACGATTCTGGTCCAGTTAGTGGAGTGTTCGCTCCTTTCCTAGCTAGATTATTTGCTTTTTCATTGCCTTCTATCCCTTGGTGAGCAGGCACCCAGTGTAGGAGGACTTTGTTTTCTTTGCCTACCAATAGGAGTCATATTGACGTCAAAATCAAATTTCTCATGTCAAAAAACTCCTTTTTTCATCCATACCAATTTTCATCGAAATATTGACGTTACTTCAAAAATTATTTGGAAAAAATAGAAATAAAAATGAAACTTCTACACCCTGTATCTTCGAAACTAAGCATTTGAGGACATACATTTGTACGAACTTTTTTACTTATTTTTATCTGCAGAATATGCTGCAGAAGTTTCCGGGATACAGTTCGGACCACCCTGTATATTTATATAATTATTTTTCTAAAATTTCCTGTATTTTCCGGAATAAAAAAAAATGTTAAAAGAACCATTAAAAATTAGGTTCCACGATTTTTTTTCTCAGTTTTATCTTTTTTTATATAATCTTTTCTAACAAAGATAACTCGATAATGGAGACCCTGCAACATTATTTTAATAGTCGCGCTAAAACTCTACCTGGTTTTAAAGTACACGTCCATACAGGACTACAGGATAGTTTTATCTAGCGCAAATACGAATTATATATTTTTATATTCCTCCACATTAGTCAGTAAAGTGGGAAAACTCTGACAAGTCAGTTAACATATTTTTTTTTCAAAGATAACACAATAATTTTTTTAAATTTAAAAACAATGGGTTAAATAAGTTTATATTAGTTTTATTTCGTATAAAAGTCGCGTTGAAGAAACCAACAAAAAAAAATCATCATGGTTTGGATAAAATAGTGTTTTTTTCCTGGATAATTATGGATAACTACGGATACAATCCCGAGGAAAACAGCAATGGGAGACCCTTTACTATATCCAGTAAGATTTTAGAATTTTTTTATTTTTAAAAATTTGTCTAAAATTTTTGATTTGAATAGGAGGACTAGATTCGGCTAACAAACAAAACAACGAAAATGATTTTTATGTCGCGATTAATTCAAGATTTAAACCGTAAGTTATTATTTTTTTGATTAAAATTGTTCATTATTATTTTAGTATTGATATATTACTTTAATATTATTTTCTTTAATGTTTTTTTAAAATTACTTTAATATTATATCATATTCATATTAATATTTTAATAGTTTTTATTGAGTTATAGCCTAATAATCATTATTTAGAGTCATAGGGGGTGTTTATCAAAAACTGGCCCACCCCTATAACTTTTTATTTTTTTCAGATAAAAAAAACAAGATTTGGTATTTATATACAGGGTGTTTCAAAACAAATGCGAAAAACTTTAGGGGGTGATTCCTTGTTCAAAATAAAGGGTAGTTTGCTTTATAAACGTTGGGTCAAAAGTCAACCATTAGGGAGATATCGCGGTACAAAGATGGCGGAAAAATAATGTTTTTATTTTTTATCTTGAAAACGAAAAGAGATAGACTAATAAAAGGGGTTGAAATAAACTACCCCTATCATTCTTGTTAACGAAATTTAAAGAAAAATCTTATCAAACACATGCAAATGCTTTAATTTGGATAGTTTAGTTTGTTTAGAAACTTTTTTACCTCTTGTGTTTTTTTGATAAAACTCACCGATTGGAAATTAAAAAATAAAATGTGAAGCATTACATGTCAGGACAAAAACATTTTTAGATTAAAGAATCTAGTGATAATAACGATAATAATAATCATCTAGATAATAACGTATTGCAGTAGAGTAATGTCAAATAAAATAATATTAGGAACATCTTAAAAAGTAACAGCGGCCGACTAGATTTTTTCCTAAAAAAATTACAGCAGCCCACTAGATTCTTTATCAGAAAATGTTTTTTGTCCTGACATGTAATGCTTTACATTTTATTTTTTAATTTCAAATCGGTGAGTTTTATCAAAAAAATACAAGAGATAAAAAAGTTTCTAAACAATCTAAACTATCCAAGTGATTTTTTTTGCATATGTTTGATAAGATTTTTCTTTAAATTTCGTTAACAAGAATGATAGGGGTAGTTTATTTCAAACCCTTCCACTCATTTTAAAAAAGTGAAAAAATTACCAGAAAGTGTGTTTCTATAACAGTAATGCTTCCATAAAATTTTATTAGTCTATCTCTTTTGGTCTTCAAGATAAAAAATAAAAACATTATTTTTCCGCCATCTTTGTACCGCAATATCTCCCTAATGGTTGACTTTTGACCCAACGTTTATGAAGCAAACTACCCTTTATTTTGAACAAGGAATCACCCCCTGAAGTTTTTCGCATTTGTTTTGAAACACCCTGTATATCTGACTTAAATTAGGATTGATTGACGTATTCAATTAGTTTTGTTTATTTCCTCTTTCATCGAAAATTATTTCTACTTTTTATTTTTAAATGGCACCTTCGCATTTTTTACTTTATTTGCTAGAAAATGACCCAAATCGTATTTTTAATCATAATTCATTTTTTCAAATGGAACGCGGGTGGCCCATAAGCATATTTAGTAAAATTTTTTAGGAATAATTTAGTTCCAGACACTTGGTATTTCGAGTAAAATTGTCGTTGTGAACTGCATGTTACAATTTTAAATAAACCATATGCCAAAATGTCAAAACTTGACATATGATGTGTCATTCTATTCAGAGTGTCATTTTATATCGAATAAAGTAAAAAAAAATACCAATGGTGTCATTTTAAAATCAAAAGTTATACTCATTTCCGGTGAAACAGGAAGTAACTAAAAATAATTGAATACGTCAATTAATCCTAGTTTATGTCACATACTAACATACCAAATCTCGTTTTTTTATCTGGAAAAATAATAATATAGTATACACAAATTAAAAAAAAAATATATTTTTTAGGTTATATTGCTTTTTTGTTTCTTTTAGTGTTAAAAAAGAGATATATTACAAAAGGGCGACACTAATACTAATATGCCTTGTCGTGTTATTACTAATTGGTTTGTTAGTGCTAATAATTTTATGTAAGTACCATAAAAAAATCATATTTCAGTCAAAAATAATATAACTTTTTTATTTTTCTATTATATTAGATTTGAAACCAGGATTTAAAGGCAATTTGTGCATCACCAACAAATGTATTCGTACAGCTGCAAACCTAAAATACTCCATGAATTTTTCCATGGATCCATGTGAGGATTTCTATGAGTTTTGTTGTGGTAAATGGTCAATAGAACATCCCAATCATGGATGGTACACTACATTTTCTACGTTTTCTACTATTTCTGAAAAAATCCTTCTTGAATCATTGGAAGTTCTTTCTAAAAAAGAAGTTGAAGACGAACCTTTGTCTGTAAGTCAAGCAAAATGGTTCTATCAGTCTTGTATGGATACAGGTAATTTACATAAAACAATAAATAGAATTTGCAACACCCAGTAGGCAAATCAAAATATACATAAGGTTGAATTTAAAATAGCAAAGATTTGGGCAATTTTATAACAAACGGAAGGTAAATATTTTTTTTTGCTCTTCCTGTATAACATCCAATCGGTTCATTTAGACAGATCGTATACCGGGTGCGTCTTAAAAATGGCTCACCCCTATAACTTCTTTATTTTTTCAGATAAAAAAACGAGATTTGGTATGTTAGTATATGACATAAATTAGGATTGATTGACGTACCTATTCAATTATTTTTGGTCACTTCCTGTTACACGGGAAATAACTACAAATTTTGTTTTTTAAATTACACCCTCGGTATTTTTTTACTTTATTCGATAGCAAATGACACTCTGAATAGAATGACATATGATATGTCAACTTCTGAACTTCTGACATTTTCGCATATATGGTTTATTTTTGAAATTGTAACATACGGTTCATAACGACAGTTTGACTCGAAATACCAAGTGTGTGGTACCAAATTATTCGTAAAAAAATGCCTTTTCCAAATATGCTCATGAGCCACCCTTGTTCCATTTCAAAAAACTGAGATATGATTAAAAAAAACCATTTGAGCATCTTTTAACCGACCAGGACAAGACAGGAAAAACATTAGATGATCAAATCTATTTTTCCAATGCTCCTTGATTAAAAATTAGTGTTTTTAACACAGCCAAGGCACTCTAGATTGAAATTTAAAATACGATATTTTTTAAAGCGAAAATGTCAAAAGTATATTCTGAGTCATTTTCTATCGAATAAAGTAAAAATATAGGGTGCCATTTAAAAATCAAAAATTGTAGTCATTTTCGGCGAAACAGGAAGTGACCAAAAACAATTGAATACGTCAATCAATCCTAATTTATGTCATACACTAACATACAAAATCTCATTTTTTTATCTGAAAAAATAAAAAAGTTATAGGGGTGAGCCACTTTTGAGACGCACCCGGTATAACGGGAGTTGCAGTTTCTATGTGACACAGAGTATATTATTTTATTATTAACTTAAACTGGTAATTCTTTTAGATTCTATCGATTCATTAGGTCTGAAACCGTTGTACAAGTACCTAAAGGCAGTAAATTTACCAGTACTGCCTGATTTTTTTAATAATATTTCCAACACTAAAGACAGAAAATTTGATTGGATTAAAAGCGAGGTCCTCATCAAAACAGTGTTGGCTATGGATTTATTTGTTGGCTTCACTGTAGGTCCTAACATATTTAAGAGAGACCAAAACGTGATATATGTGGGAGTTTTGTTTCAAAGTTGCCCTTTACCTAGGTAAGTTTTAAAAATACCCAGTTTAAATTGGATTATTCTTTATTACTGAAGTTTATTTCTTACTGAATTTATATAAGCTTATATCGTCTTGGTGACACTAACCATTAAATAGAGTTATAGCTCCCTTGGGACGTTATTAACGGGAATTAATATGCCATGATTCCCTCTACCTTTTAGGTAGGTAACGACCATGAAGTACAATAGAGAGAGATTTTGAGTAATATATAAAATGAAAATGGACACAAATTTACAAGAGAACAGTTTCATCGATATCCTCCGCTAGAATATTTTCCTATCCCAGCCACTGAAGGTATATTATTACAATAATATATAAACAAAGTTATTACAAAATATCTATTGTATTTTATGGTTGTTACCTATAAAAGTTAGAGGGAATTATGGCATCTTAATTCTCGTTAATAATTTTTTTCAAGTTTTCAAGTTAAGGTTTTTTTCTTTTAAAGGCTATACTTCACTACCATAACTAATGATGCTTTTAACTATGCTGTTATAAATTTTGTGTTTGTTTTGTTTTGATACTGCCTTATCCCATAAAATACTGTTGAGTTGTCTAATTGCTTGTCTTCCCTGGTTGTTTCTGCACTTAATTTCCTCATCAAGGCTACCATCGTTGGTAATGTGCATGCCAAGATATTTATATTTTTGGCAGTGTTTTATCTCTTGCTGTTGCTGTTCTAGGATTAAGTTCTCTTGTTTGCCACCGATACACATATATTCCGTCTTCTTAAGGTTTACCGCCAGCCCCCACTTGTTATACTCTTCAATTAATTTGCGGGTCATATATTCCAGGTCCTCGTAGTCTTGAGCCAGTATTATTTGATCATCAGCGAAACAAAGAGTGTAAAGTATCGAGTCATTTAGTGGTATCCCGATCTGTTCGCACTTTCTTTTCCACGTTTTCAGAGCTTGTTCCAAATAGATTTTAAACAGTGTCGGAGACAGACAGCAGCCCTGTTTAAGACTTTTGTTTATGCTGAATCCCTTTGATACTGTTTGTCCTTTCTTTACTTGGCTAGTATTGTGTTCATATAAAGTTCTTGGACAGCCTTATTTAATGTTACGTTGATATTAGTTTTCTCGAGAGCTTCCTACAATTTAGACTGGGGAACACTATCATACGCTTTCTTGAGATCTACGTAGAGGAGATGTATTTCTTGATTTCTTGCCATCTTTTTCTCAATTATCTGTGTCAGTGTAAATAAATGGTCGACCGTGGATCTACCAACTCTAAATCCCGCTTGTTCTGCAGGCCTCCATATCCTTCTATTATTATTAATTCTTTCTCAATTCTCTTTAGACCAATTTTCCATAGACTCTTGAAACAGAGCTCAGCACGGAGATTCCTCGATAGTTATCCTTTACTTCCTTTCTTGTGTATTGATATTATATATGACTTTTTCATTCTTTCGGTATATTTTTTATATTCCTTTTGGTAAATGGATTCACTTTTAGGTGGAACTAACGCTTGTCGTGCTTCTTCAGTTTTTTTTAATATTTCCTCCATTTTAATGGAGACGTACTCGAACATGTGCCGAATTCGTGCGAAAGGTGTTTTTTTTACAAAAACTATTGACAACTACCATCAATTTATAAACAAGTTCCTACCAGCAGCATTAATACAAATATACCGGAAGATTACTAAATGCAACATTTGTGTTGTTTTAAAGCGGGACAAAATATATTAAATTCAGTTCAAATTCAAGAAATAAAATTCTCTATGTACAAGAGGGCAATATTTCTGCCGTCAGTAATTCATAATTAACTCCCCAAAAACCCCATTCATAATATTTTTTTTAAACATTTTAGTCCACTTAAAAAGAAACGGTACATTCGACAACCATGGAAAAGACAACTTCAACAAAATTTGAACACTATTTCTAGTCATAGTACAAACAAAACTAGTGATACCGATAGTGATGATGATGATTATGATACGGATGAAGCTGAAGAGACGCTTAGGAATATGATACGATCAAACATGATCAAACTTGTAACCAAAAGGATTGTTGAAGATGTTGGTGGTAATCAACCGGAAGATACAGTGTTGCAACGCGCTATGGAAGTGATAAATAATATAACAGATTTTATAGACGAAGTAAGTCTGATATACAGGGTGTAATTAATTATATTCATAATTTATAATTTTCTTCCAAGTACTTTTAGAATTTCGAATGAAATTTTGAGGGTAAAATTTACTATAAATACGACATATTTTAAAGCTAAAAAAGTGTCGACATATTCACCAGGTACCTGCATATGGGTTATCACTGATATATTTTTCTAAAAAAACATGTACGCCACTGACTTTTTTCTCTTGTTAGCGAAATATTGTAATCTGTTTAATGCCGATTAAAAGTTGTCTCTTGATAGTTTGTCGATTTCGGCCTTCTTGATGAGATATACGCAATTTTATTAATTTGCGATGACCCAAGTCAACTATCAACCTTTAAAAAAAAAATAATATCATTAATTACAATTATTCCTCCTCAAAAAATATGAAAAAAGGTTCCTATAAAGATGGGTATGGAAATGCATTAGTTTTTTTGTAATTATCTTAAATACCAATATTTTTTTTTATTTGAAATTGTTGGAGGTTGGACTAATAGTAATAATATTAAATAATAAATTAGGTAAAATATATAATTTACTAAATTTATTTTTATTTGAATTTTATTAATAGTGATTAATAAAATTGCGTTTATCGCATCAAGGAGGTCGAATTCGACAAAATATCAAGAGATAACTTTTAATTGGCATTAAACGGCCTAAACAATTTTGATATCAAAAGAAAGAAGTCAGTGGCGCACGTTTTCTTTTTAAAAAATACACCAGTGATCATCCATATGCACGTCCCTGATGAATTTATCGACACTTTTTTACCATTAAAATATGTAGCACTTAGAGTAACTTTTACCCTCAAAATTTTTCATTCGAATCACTAAAAGAATTTGGAAGAAAATTATAATAAATCGAAAGATTATTAAAACTTTGTAACACCCTGTAGCTACGAAAGTAAGCAGAATCGGCCCTATGTTGATATGAAAAATAAATCTTATTTTTACCTGAGGAATCTCCCCACGACAGACGGCACATGTTTTTTGAAACACCCTGTATACAGGGTGCTACAAATTGGAGGTACGAGCATTGGTAATCTCGGAAACCGTAATAGATACGAAGATGGTTAAATTGGGACAAAGTTGCGCTTTGGGATGTTCACCAAGATGTTATCAAAAAAGTTTTAAAAATGTCAAGGATTGCTGAGGTTTTTGGAAAAAACGGATTCCCGTCGTTAATCCATTAACGACGTTAATTAATCCATCCTTACAATAATGATAAGCCTTCAAACTTAAAAATGACGTGGGGTACAACATTGAATACGGAAAATCAAATGCAATAAAAAATAAATAATATAAATATAATATAATATAAACAATCAAATCATTTCCCCGGAAGATGGATTGGAAATGGTAGAGCTGTATAATGGTCATCGAGGTTCCTGGACCTGTCGCCCAGGTGCGTGGGGGGGGGATATTGCATTACTTGACGTCATTTGTAAAAGTGAAATCATTATTTTTCAACATTTACAATAAATTTGTGCAATAGGCAAAGTGGTAACCCTTTCGAACATGTAGAGCATTACAAACTAGTTGGTAGAAGTTGATTTATTCATAATAACAACGATTAATATTAAGTATATTATTATATCGTACACTGATATTTCAAATTCATAATAAAAAAAGTTGAAAATAATCTTTAAATTGCTGACCTGGTTATTATTTATTTGAATCTTTCAATTGGCCTGAGTTTCCTTATTCAATGTTAACTAGCCCTGGTCAATATTATTGCGATGAATATAATCAGATTAAATAATTTAAAAAAAAACAGACTCGGACTTGAAATTATTTTAGTAATAATTATAATAATTAAATAGTTTTGTTGTTGTTAAGGTTAAGGTACCAAAAACAAAAAAAGTATAAAGTGTGGCATATCATTGTACTCAGGAGACCGAGTTCTTTCAAAAACTGAAATAAAAAATGCAGGTCCGTATTTAAAAAAATTAAGTTGGCCTCTGTATCTCACAAATTGGCGGCTAATTTGAAAATCTAAAAACACTATAAAATAGCCCTAATAAAGTGGCTATGAGAATGTGCAATTACTTTTTTGATTTCCTAAAAAGTAACGACAGGAAAAAATATAATTGATTTCCAAAAAATTCAGCAAATCCTTGACATTTTTAAAACTTTTTTGATGGCATCTTGGTGAAAATCACAAAGCGCAACTTTGCCCCAATTTAACCATCTTCGTATCTATTACGGTTTCCGAGATACCAATGCTCGTACCTCGAATTTGTAGCACCCTGTAGAGTACTGCTACCAGCAATACAGGGTGAATAACATAACTGTTTTTTGGATTAACATTTTGCACTGTTTCTAATATGAAATATCAAAACCCTTGATTATATTTTTTTTCTAGAAATGGTATAGTTTTCAATGTAACTAAATCATGTTTTGAATTGTTTTTGTTTTTGTTTTAGATAAATGGTAACTTCACAGTTCCAGAAGGTGAGAGTGAATACGAAAAAACTCGCAAATATTCTATCCAGGAACTTCAAGATCTCACCGATAATAACGTCAAAACTTCAATGCCCAATTTCTGGATGGACTACATAGGCCGGATTTTCGAAAACACTAACGTCACTATTGCCAGAAACGATTCAGTGTTTATTGTTGACGTTGAACTGGAATACTTGTACACTATTTTGGAGTATGTTTCCAGGTAATTTTTTACAGTTTTGTACAATGAAAGACTAAGACTTCTTCTTTTTTTCTTCATTTATTAGTTATGTTTGTTTTTGTTATAGTCAGCCGTCTGAGCATTTGGAGCTGTATATGTGGTGGGCTACAGTGTATTCCATGGTGATCAACCTTTCCTCTGATCTAGCCGATGAGGTACTAACTCAAGCTTCTATGTTCTATCAAGAGTCAAAAGATCAGGGGAGTGTATATGCCAGATCCAGGTATTTATAGATACAGATCCCGTAGACATACAAACATACCGCCATTACTCGCTGACGAGTATTTGACACGCATCAGAAGATGGTCACGTAAGGCGTGTTCTTTCATGAGCTTTTCTGTGACTGAAAAGCCCGATACGTGATGTTATCTGCCTACCGCACTCCGGCCATTCAAAAATCTCATTGCTTTGTTGCCTCTTTACTTTTTCGTTGTCGCTGTTAACTGAGTTAACAATTCTTCTCCATGGAGTTCTATTGTGAGCTGCTTCTTCCCACTCATTCTGCATGTTAATCCCATTTATTGGAAGATTCCATCCGCAACCTGGAATGGAAATCTTGCAATGGTCTAAGACACTCGAAGAAGTTTCTGAGGGTTTATGATCAAGAAAAATCACAGATCTTCCTGGGTCTGAGTAAGAACAATCTTCGGATTGTCACGGGGTTTTTAACAGGACACTGTCTCCTCAATGAACACCTCAGTAGATTGAAACTAAGAAGAAACGGCGAATGCAGATTCTGTGGGGAAGATGGTGAAACACCAGTACACCTCATCACTGAGTGCGCCGAGATGACAACCATTCGTGCCATGAATTTTGGTACGACTGATATTGGAGATGGAGAACTACACTCTATAAAACCGTCCCAGATACTGGCTTTTGTCAAAGCCCTGGGACTGTATGATGAGTTATGATTCAAGAAAGGGGGGCACAATGGATCTGTAAGGTCGAAGTGATTAACCCCCCTCCCACTCATTCTAAATTCTAAAAAAATTCTAATCCCATTTAAGTTTTCGTGGAAAATGTCCCTGTATCTTTTGAGTTGTCCACCCAGCCTCCTCTTTATCGTCTACAAGCTCACCGTAACGCACAGATTTTGGTATGCCGTTTTCTTGCATTCTGCATACGTGACCAGCCCATCTTAAGTGGGATTTTGTAACCATGACTTCAATACTCTCGCAGTTAGCTTTTTCAAGGACCGATACGTTTGAGACATGATGGAACCATCGGATTCTTAAGAGTTGTCTAAGGTGTCTCTGTAGCAACTTGTTTTGTACGTGTTTTTGCCCTTAGTCTTTTTATGTTGAACAGACCGCCATCGTATCTGTATCTAATGCCCAATCTTCTCTCCTGCAGTTTGCTGTCCACTATAATGGATAGTGTTGGGAAAATTCGAATTAAATAATACGACTAATTCGATAGTAAATTAAAACTAACTAATTCGATTATCTTTTTCGATATAATCGAGATAAAAATTAGTAGTATTTTATATTATATCTGTGGTAACCGAATTACAAATGAACATAAAACATACCCTCTTATGGACGAATACGAATATTAGTAATTAATATAGTACTATTAGTAGTACAGTACGTCTGTCCGTTCAGTAGCTACGGGGTATCCGTGAGAGGGGAAACGATAATCTCTCGATGTTTTTCGTAAAAAATTAGACGACGCGTCCCATCAATAAAAATTCGACAAATTTGCAAGTAGCCAATAAAATGAGTGGGCGGAGGAGCGATTTGCGGTGACGTACTCGTCAAGTCGACGTATAAAATATATTGCTGTTTATTTAAATGTTTTTTGTCCGCATTCCTTTCATAGACACAGATCCAGCAGACGTACTGTATTCTTTCGTTCTGAACGAACTGAAAATTTTCACTTAAACTGATTTATAAAGGGAATCGACAAAGAAAGGAACGATCCGATATAGAAAAATCCAGAAATCATTGTTATTTCCTATACCACGTAGGAATAAATCAGTTTAAGTGAAAATTTTCATTTCGTTCAGAACGAAAGAATACTACTATTATTTGGTTCATTTCCATCTCACCTAAATTTCAGCGAACACCTGCCGAACACTAAAATTAATTTTCTTGTTTTATCTAAATAATTATTGATTGCAACTGATAAAATAAAAAGAAATACGGACCGCACGTAAACAAGGACATACTTATATTGTTTTAGAAGAAGCTTTTATTTTAGATATGAGCTTTTCAATAGGAATTGAAATGTTTATAAAAGGCCATAACAATAACAATCATAAACTCGGCACTTTTAAATTTAAAACTTTAAATTATGGTTTAATTTATTAAACGGCTTCGGCACAATTAATAGAATACATTGAATAAAGAATATTTTTTTTATTTTTTATTCAGTGATAGAATATAGGTATGGCAATGGCTCAGATTTGTTTAAAATAGCCCCTAGACGAGCACTAGCTGGGACGAATTTATTTTTAGGTTAAATTTATAATACTACTAAATAATTCGAATTATTAATTCGATTGTGAAATATGAATTATTACTAATTATTCGATGGTGAAAATAATTCGATTATTCCCATCACTAATAATGGAGAGCGCTGCCATGAATAGGTTGAATAGGAGAGGCGCTAAGACACATCCCTGCCTAACTCCTGTATTTGTTAGGAAGGGATCGCTCAGTGACCCATGATGTGATACTCTTGAGTTGTTGTTGTTATGGAGGCTGTTACACATTGTAAGAAATTTGTTGGGTACTCCGAACTTTTTCATAATCGCCGTAGACGCCAAATTGCCAGATTCCGTAGACGTACTTTATAAAAGTAACTTTCAAGTAAATGTTACATTATACACTGCTGGCAAAGGAATATTAGCAATAGGAGGTTTTCAATGCGATAAAAAAAGATGGTAAGGCTGCAAAATACATTGCAGTGCAACAGAGACGGATAAAGTGTCTTTTCCCTACCATTGTATAGGGGAAGTGATCACAGAAGTGATACGACGATAGAGCCCCTGCGAGAGGGGGCGCCGGGCGGGTCTTTACGCTTGTGTGGGGGCTACCGCCTACTAATAGAACAGAATCGAAAAAATAGAAACAGGACGGACAGTGTTGCCATTCAATTACATCGAAATTATGTTGGCTTGTCAAAATCCTAAATCTTCTAATCCCATTATCTTGCCTACTTAATGAAATATTAAATAAAGTACGAAACAATTTTAAGAATGTTTTCTCTAGGCACATAACTTCTTTCTAAAACGAAAAGTAACATGCAAAACTTTGAAATCATTTCTAAAATAGCAAGTGCAATTCTATGAAATGGCAATACTGTACGATCTTCCTAGCAGTCGCCCCGACACAGTCGGTCGGCGGCGGCGCTTGACAAAGCCGCGGCTGTGACAAAGGAATTAGGCCGAAAAAAACTTTATAAGGAGTAGCCGAACAGGGTTGCCGGGTTGGTTAGATTATAATTCCATACGAGAACAAAATTCTCGGTAGATCTTCAACAAAAATTAAAAGTACAGAAACGAAATAAAATATAATATTTAAGTCCAAAATTAGCATTCCTATGTGTCGTAATAATAGATCACTCAAATAAAATACAAATATAATAAATATAACAAGAATTAGAAATAGCTAGGTATATTATTTGATATTAAAAAAAATATTGAATTAAATAATATTAATATATTAATAAAAACATATAAAACTATAACAAGTAGGGATAGCAGTCACAAATTAGTGTAGCAGTCACTTTTTACCTTTGTACAAATTTTGATCAGTGATATCTAAAATTAATTTCATTTCAATGGGAAAGCTGTAGCAACTCTCAACTCTTTTTTCATATTAATATATTTTTTTACGGGAAAATCACTAAAATATTTGTCCGAATTTAGGTTGTTTCTTAACTTAAATTTTGTTTTTTGTTTACATTTTTGGGGAAAATATGGGTTCAACTTTAGTAGATAAATGAAATAAAATCTTTTCAAAAGATATCAACTTCTTCGGGCATGTCGCCAATACCGCGCCTAATAAGGAGTAATAAGGATTTTTAGGAATATCTCTGTAACTCTGCAACTAGACAGAACGATGACCTGTATGTGTGTTATTACTAAATAAATTTTAATGAAACAATAATAAAGTCAGATTATACAGATTCCAACGCGGCAGTCGCTTAGTTTTTAGTCAAATAAGTCAGCTTTTTAAAAGTGCTTCTATTGTAAAAACTAAAGACGCAGTTGAATATATCGTTGGATTTTTCTTTAAATCGGTAGATCGGTAGCTTACAGACGAAACCGGTAGACCTGGCAACTCTGTGATGAACTGACGGGAGTCGGAATAGCGAGGTGCGGAGGCGCGGGAAGGAAAATAAAATAATGGCGATAAATAAAGGGCAGGGAGATGGGTATCATGAGTGGATGGGAGGTGGCGGAATTTCCAGAATTTGTTATCTTATTGGAGTTTGTCTAAGTAGACAGTCGTAGTGGAAGTGGAAACGGGGAAGTTGTTGTCCATCTCTGTTTAAGCATAGACTTTTTATAGGCGTTTCATTCCAATGCATGTAATTCCTATGCCTAGAGATCCATTGCCGGGCCTGTATACTATTTCGTGTTTATCATTTTTAGATCCATTACTTGCTGTGAACTGGTAAATACTTACATGGGATGGGCTGTGAGTTATGTAGTGGCTGACAAAAGTTTTGCCAATCAAACCAAGCCCAAAGTAAGTAGTCAAAAAGTGTCATATTATATTTTTTGTTTATTTTCCAGCAATGTCGTGTTTTAGGTGGAAAAAATGATAAATGATATTAAAGCTGCGTTTGTTGATCACGTGAAAACTTTAAAATGGATGGATAAGGATACGAAAAAAGTTACTTTAGAGAAAACAGAAGAAATGTTGAGTTTGGTTGGTTATCCTGATTGGTTGTTTAAAGATGGAGCTGTTGACAGGAAATACGAAGGGGTATAGATAAAATTCAAAAATGTTAGAGTGGAGTTTTTAGTTTTAAATTTGTATTTCTTGTTGCAGCTAGAAATAAACTCTACTACCTATTTGAATAATATGGTTAATACCATAATAATAAGTGTTGCCCAAACTTTAACCTCTTTGAGAATACCCAATCCTAGAGACTGGACTACTGAAGCCATTGTGGTCAATGCCTATAACAGCTTTGGGGATAATTCAATAAGTAAATATTTTTCAGAATTGTTTAAGCCGCAATTTATTAAAAATTATTTTTAATTGTTTTTCTAAAATAATCATCCTTTTTAATCTTTATTATTATTTTATTTGTTATTTTCTATTGTTTCAATGATTATTTTTAATTTTCTGTTAGTTATATTTATGTAATTTTTTTAGATGTACCCATGGCAATACTGAACTACCCCGTCTATGACCTAGGATTAGAGTAAGTTTTTGTTTGATACAGTTTACAAGTTTACAAAACATTAAAGTACATTATTTAATAACTTTAGAGTTTTAAATTATGGTTCCATTGGATCAATAATAGGACACGAGTTGACACATGGATTCGATAACACAGGCAAGTACAACTGTATTGATCTAAGTATATATCGCTCAAAAAAATATATAGTCTCATTAGAGTACGTCCATAGTGCACCAGTCAGCCAGCTTCAATCGGCTTAAACTGCTTTTACCCGCTTTTACCGGAGTGAATAATTATTGTTTCTTTTTGTCGCTCCCTCAAACTTATCTACCCTGCTAAGCTCATTTCTAAACTTCCAATAAAGGTTATGTTTTAGCACAATTCAAGCTATTTACTGACTAAATTATTAACAATTAATCGATTTTAATTATAACATTTTTAAAGTAAAAAAATAATAGATTTAAATTAAATTTTCGCTCAAAAATATTGTTACTATAGAAAAAAATAAACTTAGATTGTTCTGGATTTCTATTTCGTTGCAATTTTGTTTTATAGCAGATTTTCTTATTTATACATTTCGTCCCGGGAGGGGTAATTACCCCCTTTACCCCTCCCGTATATGCGCGTAGTACTTTTTTGAATCAGTTTAATATGAGCATTATCACTAGTTAATAAAAAGACATAATAGAGCCCCACGGTGCTCTATGATGCTAAATCACATTCCCGCTTCTTGCAAGCGGTTGCTAATGGCCACGCCTGCATCAATGGCGCGGGTTCACAAAGCGATAAGCCCGGAAATCGGAAAGCCGGTGCACTATGGACGTACTTTAACGTAGTGAATAATGATATATAATACATTTGTTCATCTAGGCAGAAAACATGATAAATACGGCAATTATATACAGTGGTGGCCAAATAAGACTATAGAAACTTTCGAGAATATGACTCAGTGTTTTATAAACCAGTACGACAACTACACTATAGATGGCATCAAAGGACACGTAAGTAGACATATAGTGTACTTTAAATTATGAAAATATCTAATTAATCAAATCGATCAATATTTGCATTTTAGATTCTTAATAAAATAAAAAATCGGTAAAAAAAACTTTTAAGTTAAACGGTTTTATCTTATGTGCACTGAAAACTAGAAAATAATAATAACAATAAGGTATTTTGAACTTCTAGTTCAGAAATATTTTAGTACTAGGCAGAATAGCTTTTAGGCATATTAGACTAAAATAAAAACGTCTGAAATTTTACCTATGGCAAAGCATATCTTTATACTTTGGTAGATCATGAGCTCGGCGTTCGCTGGTGAAGCCGCCACGGCTGGTTATTGATTGTCAAAATCTCCAGTTACGATTATAGTAAGTCGATGCAATCCACACTTAGTATAGAAGAAAGTATTACAGCAATAGTTAATGGGCCCCTCGTTTTTATTTTAGTCTAATATGCCTAAAAGCTATTCTGCCTAGTACTAATATTTCTGAACTAGAAGTTCAAAATACCTAATTGTTATTATTATTTTCTAGTTTTCAGTGCACATAAGATAAAACCCTTTAACTTAAAAGTTTTTTTACCGATTTTTTATTTCCTAGTTTTTAGTATTTAACGGAAATGCCTACCGAATATTCCTCATTCTATTTAATTCATTTAGTGCATCATTATTACATGGTTTTTTACCTGATAATTTATTACAATCTGACGCTCAGGTGTTTCTGACGCTAACAACTCTTTCTGTCTGTCGCGTTCTGATGCTAGCCTAGACTCATGACGCTCAGGTGTTTCTGACGCTAACAACTCTCTTTGTCTCCCTCGTTGTGATGCCAGCCTAGACTCATGACGCTCAGGTGTTTCTGCCGCTAACAACTCTCTCTGTCTGTCACGTTGTGATGCTAGCCTGGACTCATGACGCTCAGGTGTTTCTGACGCTAACAACTCTTTCTGTCTGTCGCGTTCTGATGCTAGCCTAGACTCATGACGCTCAGGTGTTTCTGACGCTAACAACTCTCTTTGTCTCCCTCGTTGTGATGCCAGCCTAGACTCATGACGCTCAGGTGTTTCTGCCGCTAACAACTCTCTCTGTCTGTCACGTTGTGATGCTAGCCTGGACTCATGACGCTCAGGTGTTTCTGACGCTAACAACTCTTTCTGTCTGTCGCGTTCTGATGCTAGCCTAGACTCATGACGCTCAGGTGTTTCTGACGCTAACAACTCTCTTTGTCTCCCTCGTTGTGATGCCAGCCTAGACTCATGACGCTCAGGTGTTTCTGCCGCTAACAACTCTCTCTATCTGTCACGTTGTGATGCTAGCCTGGACTCATGACGCTCAGGTGTTTCTGACTCTACCAGCTGCCTTTGTCTCTCACGTTGTGCTATTAACCTGGCATCATGTTGCTCAGGTGTTTCTGTTGCTAACCGTTCTCTTCGTTTCTGTAGTCGACTATAGGTTTCATTTTCACTTTCTTTTGCACGTTTCGTTCTATACTTTTCTTTCGCCTTTTCGAGCCTTCTTTTTCGTTGTGTAGCAGTTTCGTTTTTATTTTTGTTTGTGTTTTTATTTATTGTTTCCATGTTGTTCCCACGAGTAATGGACATTTTAACGGTCGACCCCAGAGGTCCAGTAGAGGGGCAAAGCTATAATATACAACAAGAGGCGCCCAATCTTGAGGGGAAACGCTTGCGACATTACATTTTTAGCCACCCTAATGCCATACAGTCCTCAGCACATTTTAACCTATTACCTTAACTTGGGTGGTAAAGCTACCGCTAACTACGTAGATACATCTAATCACCTATTTTTTTTATCTGTCCTTCTAACGTCACACAATCTTGGACACAACTGTTCTGGACACGACTACTCATGCCCTCACCTAATACGCCATTTTGTAACGACGTCCATCTTGGATTTTAAATTTTGTCATAATCACAGTATTCTACTAGTGTAGCCCTTTCATTTGATACCCATATTGAGGGGGTTGTGGAAAAATATGAAATCCGCGATTTTGTACCGGCGGCCATCTTAGATTTACAGTGTTATTGATATTACTATATTGTATTGTCATCGGAACTAACGGTGTGTACCAAATTTCAGATAAATCTGACAACAGGAAGGTACTTAAATTTCAATTTCTAATTTTGACCCAAATAAACAAACAAATAAATAAATACCGTACGGGTCGAGCTAAATAAAACCGTTTAATAAACGGTATACCAAAAATTTTACTATAGAAAACCTAATTTTTTAACAATCTGCGCGATCTCATATTCAAAAGTTTAAAAATGCAGAGGAAGCAATAACTAGTGAGATTGATGATCAAAAAAAAAACGGAGTCAAAGACTGTTTCTAGATGTCATTTACTAAAAATCGACATAAAACTTAAATTTACACAAATTTTAGAAAGATTAAAAAAGGATAGAATATGTTTCCAACCAAATAATTCCATTTTCTAATAAATGTTTTTTTTCTCGAATTTTGTACTACACCATTTAAAAATAATTTTTACTCAATATAAAAATAAATTACAAGCTTCTTAAGCTCTAATAACGGCTAGGGCTTGACCTCGTCAAAATTACCATCGATTGTCATTTCCCAGCCGTCTTTGACGCCGTTTTTTTTCGGCCATACGGTATTTTTCTTCTAAAAAGGATTTTTTATTCCCTTTTCAGGTTAAAGGGAAAGTGACTTTGGGAGAAAACTTGGCGGATAACGGCGGATTAAGTCAGGCTTACACGGCTTACAAGCGTTTTCAAAAACGGAATGGCTTAGAGCCCAAACTGCCAGGTTTCGAGAATTACAAGGACGACCAGCTGTTTTTTATTGCCTATGGAAGCGTGAGTTTAGTGTTTATCTATTTTGAAACACGAGCGACGTGTCTGTGATAGAATGTTCTTTTAATAAAATTAAGTGTTCGCATCTGTATTATTACAGAAAAAAATGTTTTACCTTATACTATACCGGGTGCGTCTCAAAAGTGGCTCACCCCTATAACTTTTTTAATTTTTCAGATTAAAAAACGTCATTTGGTATGTTAGTATATGACATAAATTAGGATTGGTTGACGTATTCGAAATGATTACAACTTTTGATTTTTAAATGGCACCCTCGGTATATTTCTACTTGCAACCCAAATCTTTCTTCGTTCCAAACTCAGGGGCTTGGAACACCCTCAAAAAGGAAATACCACTCCTGCAACTCCCAGTGGACGATATGCTAAGAACGTACAACTTTGACAAACATGTCAATGTAGTATTGAGCAATAAGAAGGATTGGAAGAGCGAAACGCTTGCCCAGCAGTTAAAAGACCATACCATAACTTGGTATACTGATGCTTCCAAAACCAATACGGGAACAGGGATCGGAGTGTTTGCGCCGAGAGCTAATTACTCCGAACCAATGGGCACTTACCCTAGTATCCTACAGGCAGAAATCTACGCTATCGAGAGATGCGTACAACTTATCTTAGATAGGAACTATCGGAAACAAGAAATAGCCATCTTATCTGATAGTCAAGCAGCGTTAAAGGCGATCAACTCAGTATCAATCGATTTGAAATTGGTCAAAGAATGCATAGAGAAGCTGAATAAATTAGGCAAAGAAAACAAAGTCCTCCTACACTGGGTGCCTGCTCACCAAGGGATAGAAGGCAATGAAAAAGCAAATAATCTAGCTAGGAAAGGAGCGAACACTCCACTAACTGGACCAGAACCGTTCTGCTTTCCAGTGGTAACCAACTCAAGGCGGAACTCAAGAACTTGGAAGATTCCATCCGCAACCTGGAATGGAAATCTTGCAATGGTCTAAGACACTCGAAGAAGTTTCTGAGGGCTTATGATCAAGAAAAATCACAGATCTTCCTGGGTCTGAGTAAGAACAATCTTCGGATTGTCACGGGGTTTTTAACAGGACACTGTCTCCTCAATGAACACCTCAGTAGATTGAAACTAAGAAGAAACGGCGAGTGCAGATTCTGTGGGGAAGATGGGGAAACACCAGTACACCTCATCACTGAGTGCGCCGAGACGACAACCATTCGTGCCATGAATTTTGGTACGACTGATATTGGAGATGGAGAACTACCCTCTATAAAACCGTCCCAGATACTGGATTTTGTCAAAGCCCTGGGACTGTATGATGAGTTACGATTCAAGAAAGGGGGACACAATGGATCTGTAAGGTCGAAGTGATTAACCCCCCTCCCACTCATTCTAAAAAAAATAATAATAATTATTTATAAATAATTTGATACCACGCACTTGGTATTTCGAGTCAAATTGTCGTTATGTGCGAAAATGTCAAAAGTTGACATATTATATGTCATTCTACTCGGAGTATCATATTCTATTGAATAAAGTAAAAATATACGGAGGGTGCCATTTAAAAATCAAAAGTTGTAGTCATTTCCGGTGAAACAGGAAGTGACCGAAAACAGTTGAATACGTCAATCAATCCTAATTTATGTCATTTACTAACATACCAAATCTCGTTTTTTATCCGAACAAAATAAAAAAGTTATAGTGGTGAGCCACTTTTGAGATGCACCCGGTATACTTACATCATATAAATAATTTATACTGAATGTCCCGGATTGTCTTGACAAGAGGCAAACCTTTTTTATTATTGACATTTTAAGAAAAATGCATACTTATTTTTCCAAGTTTCCATACCCTTTTAGAGAAAATAAAAAAAAACACACTTTAAAATTTACACTTTACAGTTAATTTTTCTTAAATATTTCTTAGATTTGGTGCGAAACCCCGACAGTTAAGGATCTCCAAGACCAAATTGAGTACGACGAGCATGCTCCTAACTCACTGAGAGTTATAGGAACACTACAGAACTCACCTGAGTTCTCTCGGGCATTCAATTGCCCTAAAAAAAGTTACATGAATCCAGAAAAATCAAAATGCAAAATTTGGTAAAAATACTTAGGTCACAATCAAAATGGATTTTGAATAATTTTCACAATTTGAGAAAAAATTAAATGAACAATTAATTTTAAGTAGGGTTTTTTTGTTTCAAATGTAGATCCTTCTTTAAGTACAAAAAGCTCAAAGTAGAGTAGGAAAAAATTGTATAGAAATAGATTTTCTATATCTATAGAATTTAACATCAATATATAAATTATTTTGTTTTAAATTTAAGTATAATATAGTTATTTATATTTAAACTATCAATTGTTAAGAAACTGTGTGTGATAAACTTTAGCTGTGCCTTGAATAAACATTATAATATATTCTAAAAGCATTTTTTATTAAAAAAAAAACGAATGAACTAAACAATACATATACAGTTCATGCCAAATAAACTATTAGTCACGTGATTAAGCTTGACCGGCACAGCGTTGCCAACTTTTATATATTTTCTTTTAATAAAAATATTTTAGGAAGCAAAAATAAATTAATTATAAATATATAAACAGTTATTATTTACACCAACAAAACTCACCTTTCTAACAGCACTTAAGGAAGATAAAGGGCCATTACTACTGCCTTCCAGTTCAAAGTATTCTAATAAAGTTGCGACGAGTTTTTTACAGCTATTAAGCTATCTTGCACACTTCGCACTAAAAAAGGTTCTAAAAAGAACAATGTTCGACTGCAAGGTCTGCTGGTAAACATTTTTAAGCTTAACGTAGCACAACACTATTTATTTAAACCAAAAACTAACTCGTAATACAAAAAAATACACTAAAGTGTCAAAACGAATGACAACCCAAGCAGCATTTGGACGTCGGGACAACGTTGTGTCACGCGATCAAACGTCGGGGCGCAACGTCTGTACAACCTCGTGCCAACCCTAGTCTGCACTAGTTTGGAGAATAATTTTTGGGTCGAAACGACGTTGGATACCGACGTTGGCTAGAAGCCTAATTTAGTACAAACTGCAACGTTGTTTAAAATCCTAATTTACAGAAATACAAAACTAATATGGCGTCTAAGTCGCGTTTTATCCTAACTTGGGATAATTATAGTAAAAATATTATTTTTATGATTTAGTTAGAGACATATGTCAGATGACAGTGAAGGAAAACAAAACAAAAGTATTTAAGTGTGGAGGATGTTGAAGATCATAATTATTGAAACACTTTAACCGACTCTGTAACTCGTTACCCAAGGCAAAAAAGTTAAACGCAAACAACTTTATTGATAAATGTATTGTTTCTACTTTGAAAAATACTAATGGGCTTTAAAATTAAAGAAGTTTTAAAAATTTTCTTGAATTTTTTTTTTAGTAAAATGAGAATAATTTATCCGCAGTCGAAAAAATTGTTTCCGCGTGTTTTTTCGGGTCAAATATTTCAAGTTAATGTATTCAAAAAGCAGGAATTGCTATTTTAGGAACGAAACATTTTCTTATTTAACAACATGGCAGCTTTCATTTTGTTGTTTTGGAGATTAAGATGGAGTAGTTCGAGTAGTCGCATACTGGACTAATAAAGTCGCAGTTCGGCCGTAACAGGTAGTATACTAGTCGCAAGATTGCCTAATTTAGTCATCCTAGAGTCTAGCTTGTGCCGCTCTCTAAAATCTAAATAAACGAGGGAGTGGATAAACTATCGGTAATATATGTCGATGTATTTTTAAATTTAGTTTTATATGTACCTTTCTTATGTCCCATTTTAATTAAGTTTTTTTTATAAAAACAAAAACAGCACTGAACTGTCTGACTGAACAGAACAATGAAGTGAAAATTTAAGATTTAAGGTTATGGTTCAATACAGTTGCAAAAAGGTAGTGACTCGACGTCCTACCAACGTAAGAATAAGGAAATCTAAACATCGTTGGAAGTAATAAAACAGACGACGTTAGCATAACGTTGGAATAGGTCCTGTAACTGACGTCGGAAAACTCTATATTGTCCAACGTTGTAACTACGTTGTCCGAATCACCTAAAGATCACTTAAGCAAAAAAGGTTACAAGACAACGTTTATTCGACGTCGCAGAAGCTTCTACTTTGCTGTAGTACTAGTCCAACGTCAGCACAACGTTATAAAAACGTTTAAATTTATTTTAATACCAAAGGTAGGCTGCTAACTATTTTTTGTAACTAATTCAACGTTGTGTTTAGTAAACATGTGGTCGCAAGTCGTGAAAATGCTACTTGGGAATGTCAGGAAATAAATAAATAAATGCGACAACTTGACATTTTTTACAGCAGACCGAATATATCCGCGAAAATGGCGCCTTCGATTACGTAACTAAAAGTTTAATTGGTATCGCCTATACCTATATACAGGGTGTTTCAAAACAAATGCGAAAAACTTCAGGGGGTGGTTCCTTGTTCAAAATAAAGGGTAGTTTGCTTCATAAACGTTTGGTCAAAAGTCAACCATTAGGGAGATATCGCGGTACAAAGATGGCGGAAAAATAATGTTCTTATTTTTTATCTTGAAAACGAAAAGAGATAGACTAATGAAATATTACGGAAGCATTAGTGTTACGAAAACACACTTTCTGGTAATTTTTTCACTTTTTTAAAATGAGTGGAAGGGGTTGAAATAAACTACCCCTATCATTCTTGTTAACGAAATTTAAAGAAAAATCTTATCAAACACATGCAAAAAAATTAATTTGGATAGTTTAGTTTGTTTAGAAACTTTTTTATCTCTTGTAATTTTTTTATAACTCACCGATTTGAAATTAAAAAATAAAATGTAAAGCATTACATGTCAGGACTAAAAATATTTTTAGATTAAGAATCTAGTGATAATAATGATAATAATTATAATCTAGATAATAACGTATTGCAGTAGGGTAATGTCAAATAAAACAATATTAGAAACATCCTAAAAAGTGACAGCGGCCGACTAGACTTTTTCCTAAAAAAATTACAGCTGCCCACTAGATTCTTTATCTAAAAATGTTTTTTGTCCTGACATGTAATGCTTTACATTTTATTTTTTAATTTCAAATCGGTGAGTTTTATCAAAAAAACACAAGAGATAAAAAAGTTTCTAAACAAACTAAACTATCCAAATTAATTTTTTTGCATGTGTTTGATAAGATTTTTCTTTAAATTTCGTTAACAAGAATGATAGGGGTAGTTTATTTCAACCCCTTCCACTCATTTTAAAAAAGTGAAAAAATTACCAGAAAGTGTGTTTTCGTAACACTAATGCTTCCGTAAAATTTCATTAGTCTATCTCTTTTCGTTTTCAAGATAAAAAATAAAAACATTATTTTTCCGCCATCTTTGTACCGCGATATCTCCCTAATGGTTGACTTTTGACCCAACGTTTATAAAGCAAACTACCCTTTATTTTGAACAAGGGATCACCCCTGAAGTTTTTCGCATTTGTTTTGAAACACCCTGTATATGTTTGATTGATAATACTCGTTATATTCAAAAATTTAGAAAGTATCTAGATTTTCTTTTCCTACAAGCAACATATATCTTAATATTTCAACTTCGTATTATCTTTTCGATACAGGCGTCAACCCTATCGAAAATTTATCGAAATCTCTATTCCCCAGGCGACTTTGACCGGCAGATAACCGAGACCGAGGCCCGGAAGTACCGCAGTCTAAACGTCCGTCATTTCGAATCACCAGAATACAAAAAGCCGTTTATTCTAGCGACTGTGCAACGATTTTCGGCCATTAGGATCGGCTCCGGAGAAGTACAATAGGCGGTACTGTCAAAAAGTCTTTATTCGTGCAGTTAAGTACCTTGGATTTATCTCAAGTACCTGTCGTAATAGTCGAAAAGTTAAATGGTACCTAAAGTCGTAAAGCTTTTTATAATAGCAATCTATAGTGGTTGATAAATATCAATGTTAGACAAGATTTGTTTGGATATTTTTGTATATATATACAGGGTGTTTCAAAACAAATGCGAAAAACTTCAGGGGGTGATTCCTTGTTCAAAATAAAGGGTAGTTTGCTTTATAAACGTTGGGTCAAAAGTCAACCATTAGGGAGATATCGCGGTACAAAGATGGCGGAAAAATAATGTTTTTATTCTATATCTTGAAAACGAAAAACGATAGACTAATGAAATTTTATGGAAGCATTACTGTTATGAAAACGTACTTTCTGGTAATTTTCTCACTTTTTTAAAATGAGTGGAAGGTGTTGAAATAAACTACCCCTATCATTCTTGTTAACGAAATTAAAAAAAAAAGCTGATCAAACACATGCAAAAAAATTAATTTGGATAGTTTAGTTTGTTTAGAAACTTTTTTATCTCTTGTCTTTTTTTGATAAAACTCACCGATTTGAAATTAAAAAATAAAATGTAAAGCATTACATATCAGGACAAAAAACATTTTTAGATAAAGAATCTAGTGGGCTGCTCTAATTTTTTTAGGAAAAAATCTAGTCGGCCGCTGTCACTTTTTAGGATGTTTCTAATATTATTTTATTGACATTACTCTACTGCAATACGTTATTATCTAGATTCTTATTATTATCGTTATTATTACTAGATTCTTTATCTAAAAATGTTTTTGATCCTGGTATGTAATGCTTTACATGTTATTTTTTAATTTCAAATCGGCGAGTTTTATCAAAGAAACACAAGAGATAAAAAAGTTTCTAAATAAACCAAGCTATCCAAATCAATTTTTTTTGCATGTGTTTGATAAGATTTTTCTTTAAATTTCGTTAACAAGAATGATAAGGGTAGTTTATTTCAACCCCTTCCACTCATTTTAAAAAAGTGAAAAAATTACCAGAAAGTGTGTTTTCGTAACAGTAATGCTCCCATAAAATTTCATTAGACTATCTCTTTTCGTTTTCAAGATAAAAAATAAAAACATTATTTTTCCGCCATTTTTGTACCGCGATATCTCCCAAATGGTTGACTTTTGACCCAACGTTTATGAAGCAAACTACCGTTTATTTTGAACAAGGAATCGCCCCCTGAAGTTTTTCGCATTTGTTTTGAAACACCCTGTATATTAATCGGTTTAAAACGTTCTACGTCTTCCGATGCCATCTCTCCATGCCTGCCTGTCTCTCCATGCACCGTCTCCGAGATATCTTTCTTCCATAAACGTGTCAATCCCTCCTTGCCAACTTCTTCTCGGTCTACCCGGTTTTCTTCTTCCTGCAGGTTTCCAGTTTATAATTTGCTTTGGGATTCTTATTTCTGCCATTCTTTGGACATGCCCGTACCATATGAGTTGACTGTTC